AAACTGAAATGTTTTTGTTGGCAGTTGAATTTGAGCTTGCAGGGGTAATTCTCTTTGATGGTATCCTGGTCATGGCTACTAGTTACAGCTGGGTTCTAAGAGAACGAAGGCTTAGGTAAATCAAGGAATGACCGTATAATCGTAGAGGTTGTAAAAGTTTTATGGAATACTGGTGTTCACCTAATGTAAGTAGTGGAACGAAGAACTACCGGTCTCATAAATTTTCTTGCTTCTTTGGTTACTATGCTGTTTACTAGTGGCTTTGACTAGCTTCTACAGCGGTCCTACTAGTAATTTTCTCAAGACAGTTTGAGAAGTTCTAGATATCGAATTTGAAGGAAGCAATGTTTGCAACAGCAAGTAAAGACAACAAAACAGTAAACAACCCAATCTATTTGGCTCAAATATTAAATTGCTCTTACGGATAGGCCAGTTGATGTTCATAGAATATATCCCATGACGCGTCTGTACGTGAGGCACCGCAGTAAGGGCTGTTCAGGTCATTCGTCTACTGTGCTTTGAACAATGGGCAAACAAGGAAGCATCGTAATGGTAATGATAAGTAGGCTTGATAATGAGTGATACATCATAATATCTTGTAATATCAAGTACTAATCTAGTGAAATATAACTACCCAGTTCCTAAAAGGTTTTGGGTTTTGATGCGAAACCTCCCAAAAGGTTTCTGTATCAAAAGCACTTTTAGGAGGCCTCCGGCGGAGTACTAGCTTCTGGATACGAGTGTTGAAAACAGTGTCATCTGAACTTGAAGGCACTTTCCCTATTAAGTTGCACGGCGCGTCAAAATTTGAAACACTGTTGCGATATTGTGGTTCAGTCATATTGTGAGTAATGATCATCTCCTGAACCTTGTAGGATACTTGAAATATATCTGCAGTGAAAGTAGGATAAGAAAAGAAATGGGACAAGTAGTACGGGGGTTTCTAATCAGTGATTTTTCAGTGACTAAGCCAAACAAGAAAATCACAAGCCGCCTTACTTGGTGTCACAACAGTCTACTTCCAATCGTTATGCGACATAGCCTTGCTGCAAGCCATTTTACGGTGAACTGCTTGCTTATCAGTTGTTTATCGATTCGTTTCTTATTTTTCTGACTATATTTTCTCCGTTGTCAACTATTCATTCCCCGTTAAGATCGTTGACGAGTCATTGTTTTACATTGGATACTGGGGTCGTCATCTGAAAAGCAGTCAATACCGCACGTTGAAACCCTACCAGAAGGTTCGTTTTCTCTGCCTCTGAAGCCTTATACTCAAAAGGTTACAGTCTTCCAATAATTATAGCGAAGTGTTTTAGAGGCAATTTTGCGACTGAATATTGAAAAAATAAGCGATTGTTTGAAGTCACGCGTTTTTATTTGTTCTCGCAGGTGTCCTTGAATAAGCGCCTTTCTCTGCTTACCACTGATTCTTAGCTAGTTGTCTCGCTGCAAGCCATATCTAGTTGGTTGTGTTAGATAGTTACCCGCACAACAAATCCATAGGCATTAGGGACCCAACGTTGCTACTATCGCTCAAAATTCTCCTCACCGAATTTGGATTGAATTGTATTTTTTGATATATGTATTGCTAATGGTTGTCATGGTTCAGGTGAATCACTATCCGGGAGCGTTTCACATTGGCCGAAAAGATCGTCTATGGATGCATATTGAGAAACAGCAACGTCGTTTTGGCGAAAAAGTCTATGGTATTATGCCGAAGACGTACCTGCTACCGAAAGATTACGACCAGATGCGAGACTACCTGGCTGCTTCGCCGGCCAATCACGTCATAGTAAAACCGGTATGTTCTGGTTCTCATTCAGTTCGAGGAGCAGCACTCGACTTTGTGGGTAATGTAAATGGGGTGTGTAAGTAGTAAACGTACCCATGCGTCGGGTAGGGTGGTCAGATCAGAATGGAAACGGATACGTGCAGTGGGGTTGGTCAGGATCAATCACCCCTGTGATTAAAGGCTAACCCCAAGGAGATCCCAATATGCCTATAACGAGGGCAAGAACCTATAAAATACAAATAAAAGGATAAAAATGTGAACGAAATTCTAGGGCCTCTAAAAACGATGGACGGTAGGAATGACTTCATTTGCAAACCGAAAATTTCCAGTTTCTCAGAATCTGGTCT